TAAAAAGAATCAAGTCGATGAAATAATTTCATGCCCCTTAGCCTGTCATGTAGACAATAGCATCATGGTTACAAGACAATCTTTTAATGTGTGACACAAGCATGAATTTATTAAACTATTCATTGTTCCGGGAACGTTTTTTAAGACATGAACTACATTTTTCCTCTGATGTTGCACCATTAAAATAGGATACTTGCTGAACTCAGGGTGGATTTAATACCACAAGCCTTTCAAGTGTGGTGGAACAGGAGGGGAGTTCATTCCCACATCAGTAATAGAGATAAATCAATGGTTCCACACAATAGCTCCCTGCTTTTGTCTGGGAGCTCTGTTATCACCAAGCGCTTTTATTCCAAGAGGATTTTTTAGCCCACACAAGATCCTTTTTCCATGTTTCAGCTGAGCAAAACTGCAAGCAGTTAATAATGCTAATAAAGCTAAAATGAACTGTAAGAAAGTGTTGTGGAAGTGTCTGATGCTTGTTTAGTGGCTGTTTTAATAAAATCAGAGTTGACAACTTAGCTTCAGAATTAAACAAAATTTATAAACTGAGTTAAGATCTTTTGTTATGTTTCTGCAACCCAAACTGTGGTTTTATCCCAGCAAACAATCACAAAGGCTGCCCCAGTAAACGGAGCTCTGTGTGCGATTACTTGTTGATTGATTACTTATGATACTAAAGTAAACAAATACTTGTTATGCAAAGTTGTGAGACTGCAAGCTGTAAGGTTCACCAGTGTGAGGGGAGCTGCAGGAAAAACAAACATTTAAATGTAGATGAGTTGATCGCCTCTCTCTCTCTCTCTCTCTCTCTCTCTCTCTCTCTCTCTCATTAAGTTTGACTCAGCTACCTCCCACACACCAAGCAAAACCATAACACGATGACAGTGGTGTCTAGCTTTTATCTGCATGACTACTCTGTTTCCCAATTGCTCCCCAATTGCTCCTTAAGAGTTAAAAACAACCAAAGTTTAAAACTCAAACCAATCCAAACGAATAGGGGTTGAAACTAAACAAAACCTGTAGGACAGCAGAACCCCTGCACTGCTGCCTCCCAGACTGCTGAAGGCACAGCCTTTTTATACAGGTGTTGGTGATCAGGGAGATTCAGCTCAGCTGTGCTCCTCAGCAGCCTGGGAGAGAGGAGAATGAGGGGCGGTGTCAGGCTGATTCACCAGAGCTGGGTGATCCTGGCTCCTGCTCTTCCCTGGCCAGACTGGCAACCGTAACAGTCTCCAAAAAGGGTGGGTAGTCTGAACTGTAGTTTGGTGCATAAGCACAGACCACAGTCAGAACCCATCCCCCCACACGTAGACAGAGGGAGGCTACCCTCTCGTTCACTGGGATAAACCCCAACGCACAGGCACAAAGATGGGGGGCAACTAGTATGCCCACCCCTGCTCGGCGCTTCTCAGAGGGAGCAACTCCAGAGAGGTAGAAAGTCCAACCCCTCTCAAGGAAACTGGTTCCAGAGCCAGAGCCATGCGTTGCAGTCACACACTGCACCCGACCCCTTTGGCCCCTCCCACGAGTGGGGAGCCCATGGGAAGGGGGACCCACGTTTCCTCTTCGGGCTGTGCCTGGCCGGGCTCCATGGGTGAAAGCCCGGCCACCAGGCGCTCGCCAACGTGCCCCACCTCCAGGCCTGGCCCCAGAGGGGGGCCCCGGTGACCCACGTCCGGGTGAGGGAACATGGTTTCCATTTATTTAGTTATCATAAGAGGTCTTTGGGCTGCTCTTTGTCTGACCCCTCACCTAGGACCTGTTTGCCATGGGTAACTTTACCAGAGGCAGAAAGCCTCAGACAACTTAGCTCCTAGGATCATTGAGACACTCAAACCCCTCCACCACGGTAAAGGTTGGTTTATGCTTGACGCGTCTGCGAGGTCCGCACGGCTCAGCGCGGAAAAGTTGCATCATTTTGCATCATTTTAACAACCGCGCCCCTCCACCGCACCTCCGCACGGCCCAAAATTTCCGCAACGCGCACCTAGGAAATTTTCTAACCACGCGGACGGTCGGACGCGGAAAAACATGGCGGACCGGCAAGAACTAGTATGGCAGAGGTTCGTAAATATAGACATTTGTATGATTCAGCTCTCAGAGATCACCGTGATCAACATGTTGTTAATAATTCTTGGAGAGAAATAGCTCGCACTGTCGGAAAAGATGAGGACGCTGTTAAAAATGCTGGAATGCCATGTTGTAAACAGTAATTTCTACTTCTACTATGGTTTAGTGTTGGATGCATGCCATAGAGCTCCATGCTGCCCCGTTCAGTTTGGGAGAATATTGGCTCACCGCAGAGACAAGCCGCATGAACCATAAACGCTGCGAGTTGTGAAGCGCGTTCCAGCCGCGAGCCGCATCACCAAGCGGAAAGTGAATGCGTCAAGCATAAACCAAGCTTGAGGTGGCAGCCCAGGGAGAGGAATTATGGATGTTGTTGGAAATGAAAGAGAATGAACAGAAAGAGCCCCCTGATGTGGCCTCATTCATTACCTGAAGGGATTGTTTGACTCTTCATTGCCTTTCATTTGTTACTTTGGGAAAAATGGTGATATTACTGAGTAGAAAAGAGAGGGAGTTTAATAGATTTTCATGTCCATTAGATCCACATGTGCTGTTCACCTGAGGGTGTAATGACAAACTTTTGACTAATTGTGCATACCATGCCCCTGCCCCATTTCACCCTCACACACATGCTCACACACCTCTATTCCAATGTACCTTTCAATACATGCATTCTATTCATCATAATGCATTATTCAGACCTGATTCACGGAGTGTCATCTTGCTGACGATTCAGCCCTAAATGTAATAGCTTGGACAGGAATAGCCTTGACAGCACATTGCTGTGATTTAGTGCACTTCCTTGGCCCACTGCCTGCTAAATGTAACGTCATGTTAAATTTTCCCACTGTTTGTACAGCATAGTGAGCGGATCGATAGGATTATACCCATGCAGTCTTTTCTCTGTAGCTTGTTAACACCTGAGCTGACTCTCCTAACCTCTTCTTCCTGCACAATGCTGCTGAAACTATTGGTTTTAAAGCTGTCAAGCAGTTTTAGTCATTTTAAACTAAAGGTTCATTGGCAACATCGTTAATCTGTTTTTCCCTGGAACCCAATCTAGTGAACCCGCTGACTCATAAACAACAAAGACTTTTCTAAGGATGGAACATTCAGATGGAAGATATGTTGTTTTTGCTGTTTCACGCTCATGTTAAGCCTGAGAGGCAAAAACCGATTCAATGATCAAAACTGTAAGATTGGCTGCAACACAAAGGCACAAATTACAAAGAGAAAAGGAGTCTTTCATTCTTGTGTGCTGGGAGTGAAGTGGAGGTGATCTTTTCACAAAATTACGAAAAGTAAAGGGAAGGGAGCCAAATGAATCACTGCTGCAGGTTAAAAAAAGTCTTTCAATTGTACCAGGACATGAAATAAAGGATGTGGTCTTTACCAAGTCATAAATGATACAAATTTAAACTCAAATGTACAAAAACAAACGGCAGATCTCATCATGTCATTATTTGTTGAGGAAAAAGTGAGCTAATACAGGAAATGTGTGTAAAGAACTGTAATGTCACTGCTTCCACAAGATTGAGAAGAGTTATCATCAAACTGACCACTCAGCTTGTCTTAATGGTCCAGTTAAAGAGATACTTGACAATATTTTCATATTTTACATTATTTTCTTTAGCCAGTATGTGCTAAAATGACCCTTTACGGGGTCATGAAAGGCCACCTAGCCCCCTTTGCCCCCTGTGACCAGAATATTCCACTTGCAACTTCAGACTGGCAGGCCGCTCTGTTGGAATTAGAAAAAAATTGAGATTGAGATGATACCTGGAGCTGCAGTCTGCTTCCAACACATTTCTTGCATGTTTTAGACCAGTGGTTCCCAAACTTATTTAGCCGCGCACCCCCTTCTATGTCCCGACCATGTCGACGCACCCCCCAGCCCCCACATCAGGGCATGGCTATATATTTATCTATATCTATATCTATATAGATATAGATATATATATATCTATATATATATATATATATATATATATATATATATAGATGTATCTCAGACGTCAAGCTAAACAGACAGGGTTAAAAAAATATGATCGACCTTTTTCCCCATCACTTTCATTTTTTAAATAGTAATTAATAAACATTCGATACCATTACAATTTCCTTTGATTTAATTTTAAATAGATATTTAGAGTCCCCAGGTAGAACATAAAAAATGCAATTTAACAGTTTTCTTAAAGTAGGAACGTTTAACCTGTGCGGCCAGAGCGCTCTCCTTCCTTCTGCTCTGCGTAAACCTGAGCTGGTCACCTACTTGTGCGTAATCTATGAGGCCAGAACAGTCTCAATAAGAATTAAGTCACACAACGTTTTCCACAAATGCACACGTTCATTCGGAAATCCACATTCTGTGTTTCACAAATATAATTCGGAGGAACACAAATGCACACGCTCATTCGGAAATTCACACTCTTTGACTCATAAATATAATGTGAAAAAATAAGTCACGCAACATTTTCCACAAATGCGCACGCTAATTCTGAAGTTCACACTCTGTGGTTCACAAATATAATTTGTAAGAACACTTGTAATATAAACTCAGATCATGCGAATTGCTGAATGTGCATTTACGAACAGCTTCTCATTTGTGAACCTTTCTGCGTTTGTGAGTGAAATCTGTGTGGTGCATTCACGGACAGCTTCTCATTTGTGAACCTTCCTGCATTCGTGAGAGAAATCGGTGTGCTGAATTTTGAGACTCTCCTAACGTCGCAGGTATACAAACGTCCCCATTGGCTAATGAACCTGTCAATCAAATATATGCTTCTGCCAGGGCTGTTCGCTTTCAGCCAATCATATGGCTCCTTATGTCACAGAACAGATCTGCTGTGCGCATGCGCATTTCAGTTCACACGGCAGAGCAGGATGGACCGGTCACGATCTGTGAGTAATAGTTTTATCTTATTCCTCGTTGTAATTTATGCAATGTTATAGAATTATGAGTAGAAGCGTTCTTCATGATCAAGTAAAATGTTTTATGTTAAATTCAGTCCAGACGTTACGTGAAGTCTGGTCCATTCTTCATCTAGTTTAACATCAAGCTAAACTCAAGTGAACATTTGTTTAGTTAGCGTATCTAGGTACCATTTTTTAGGCCACGGTTGTCAAACTCAAGGCCTTGGTCTATTTTTATTTGCCCCGCGAAATCAAATATCAAATATATAATATTAAACTGGCCCGCCGGGCGATTTTGCTAATAAGACTACTAATCCCACAGTGCTTTGCGGCGTTAGCGCGCGAGACGAAGCAAGCCCTCTTTCATGTTTACATCATTAGCATCCATGCTAGTCGAATCAGCGTGTGCAGCGTTACCCTCAGTCTTAAACAATTGAAGATACTCCTCTAAGCACCCAGTTTACTCAGCGAGTTTCCGACTTTGAACGCCTAGAAAGAAGGTATCTGGCTGGAACAGGTGACCATCAGAGTGGAGCGAACTGAGCTTGAAATATTTGTCATGCACTTTTTCTGCTCCAAAGCATGAACGTTAATAACTGAGATATTTTCATAGAAGATAATTGCTATTTTTGGTTTTCACAGATCTTAACTTATTTAATTATCTAACATGTTATTGTATGGCTGTTGTACCTTTCATTTGGTAATTGATTGTTTTGACCCCTATAAAAATGTGTCATATGAGAGTGTTTGTGCTTGAATTACATAGATCATGTACCTGAAGGTAGCTGACAACAACCGGGCAGACACCCACCTTGCCTTCTTCAGTGAAGCTGTGAATGAGCATGGCTTTCCTCTGAGGTATTCATGTTATTCCCAACTTTACCCTCTGTTACCCTGTTACAAATCTGCTTTTGCCTAAAGTGTGTTATTGACCAAAGATAACATGCCATTTGAGGTCATATAGTAAAATCTATGGGGGGGGGGGGGGGGGGGGGGGGGGACATTTCCCTCTTTCAAAAAATATTTCCCCAGCAGAGGGTTAATAATGCCACATTGTTTACTCACTTAGTAGCAAGGTACATAAGGAAATTTCTGTGAGACTCAAATTGATGTAGATTGTTATAGATGTGCATTAAAAATGTTTGAAGCAAGATTCTAATGTTTTTTTTTTTCATGGTGAGAGGAGATCATGGCGGAGAAAATGTAGGTGTTGCATAATTAATGTTCTCAGTTCGTGGAACTGACACCAACAGCTTCATTGCAGGAAAAAGTGTACACAATCAACGGTGAGTTTAACCTAATTTGGAAGCTTTGTGTCTGTGCGCGCGTGCCTGTGCCTGTTGACCTGCCCAGGGTGCACCCTTCGTCTCACACTGTGACTGCTAGAGATAGGCACCAGTCCTCCTGCGACCATTCAAAAGATAACTCAAGTTGAAAACGGATGTATGGACATGTAAATGTGTGTGTATATTATAATTTTCTTTTATTTAATCCCCCTCCAAATCCAGGATCGAGCGCCTGTGGCGTGATGTCTTCATGAGTGTTACTGGTCTATATTACAACATCCTGCACTCTCTGGAAGACCAAGACTTGCTCGACATCAGTAACATCCTTCACATGTTTTGTTGCCACTATATTTTCTTGTCTCGCATCCAGGCCAGCCTGGATGTCTTTAGAGATGCGTGGGACAACCATCCAATCAGGAAGAGGAAAACATGACACCAAATCAGCTGTGGCATCTGGGCCAGGCTCTGAATCCTGTTTCTGATCCAGGGGCAAATGTATGTTCTGTTAAAATGACTGATCACATGTCAAGTTGATCCTTAACTAAAAATCAAATGTTCAACACTTTGATAATCTACCTCTGCTCTATGCTTCTTGGATTCAAGACAAAATGGCTGTTGAAATTACAGTTCTGTTTGTGTGCACCTCTACTGAAATGGACACTCAACTATAATGTCATGACATTACAAAGTCATGACACATCTGCAAGTTCAAAATGCAAGGCATTAGACCTTCCAGATGTGATATTCTCACTGCTGTTTTAACATAAAAGTAGCCCATTAATTAAAAAAATAATAATTTATGAAATAATGGAGATGCTAGGTTCTGCCTGACATCATTGATGTTAAGTAATTGTTAAAAGGTCATGATAGGGCTTTATTAAATGTGTTTTCTTGAGATTCATTATGCACAATGCTCATACACACTTTCCTTTTCCAGGGTATACCGACACCAGAGATTGAATGGGAGGAGAATGGATACATGACTGAACCTCATCCTGGGATCAATGTCCCTGTACTGGACAGTCCTCTTACAGATCATGAAATGTTGGAACTGCAGGACAACATTAATCCGTTGAAACATTCAGACTCTTTTGGGAGTGGACATATATCTTCACACTGTCCAGTATGTTGAGAACTTACTTGAGGCTAGATGATTACATGTGTGAAGAAGGAAGGAGAGAGAAGGTAGGGAGTTAGGAAGAAAGAAAATAATTAAAGAGACAGGAAGGAAGGAAGTTAAAAAGTGAAGGAGTGGTCCATTTTAAGGTTAATGTACTGTATATTGTTATTCAAGGGATTTGCCGTTGTAAATATGAAATGCTAAAGGATAGACCCCAAAATAGATTTCTAAATTCTTTTATAGTTGTGTATTTCCTTAAAGTCTTTGTCAGCCTGATTTATTTTAGACCAGGAATGTATTTGAAAAGGCTGCTGTTCACTTCATCTATGCTACAATTCTTCAAAATGTAAATGTGCTATCATTGCTAGTGTTGGTTTAGTAACATGCATCTTCCTGTGTATCCAGCTCTAATAAAAACATTTAAAGGTGAATCACCTACTTATCAGGAGATCCATTTATTTTTACATGTTATTGTTTGAATTTTGTCTCGTTTCATAACTTTTGCTCAACATTTAAGGGGAACTGTGTTACCCTGCGATCATCTTCATTACACTTGAAAACTTGTACTATACCTCCGTCCATCTACTTATTAAATGGAATAACATGACAAGATTCTATCTACTGGTTTTTTGATCAAGGGATGATTAGGTGTTGTGAGAAGATTCTCTATGCTTCTGAGTCTGTGTTAAATTGCAACTGGACACACATACCCACACACAGTTTGTTCATTTGTTCTCAGAATGAGAATAATGTCTTTTACAATTAAAAAGTTTTTTTTCTTGATGTCACTGAAGGCTGTGTTAGAAATATATGCAGCTCATTAAAAGGAAAAGTAACTGATGTAACCAAAAGCCTGAACACAGGAGAATAGAGACACCTGCCAAGATAAAGAGCTGGAGCTTTTGCTCCTTTTCAGAGTCACTCCCATGGAATAGGCCTGATGATTTACTAGCTTCTCTTACCTTCTCTGCAGACAATGTTTAATATGAGCTTCAAGAGGTCTCTGCCCCTAACGGGGTTTGCTTTCACTTAGTAAAAATGCATAATTTTTCTGAATAAGATTATTAAGAGGCCACCCATATGGTGGAGCGTTGGTAATGTAATGTAACCGGTTAGATTTGTGTCCGGCTTGACGCCGACTTGCTCTGACGTCATGCATACGTAGGCAACGATAACCACTTGAGATCAAGGCGGCCGCAGATTTTGGAGCAAGGCGCTGCTGTTGTTCTCCCTTGGCTGCAAAACCTAGGGCATGATGGGAAACGCCTGGCTCTCACCTGATGTAAGATCTGATTGGTTCATATTTTGATCCAAACATCCGGTGGTAGAACATGAAATGTTAGTTGGTCACATGTATTCTGTAAATCATGTAACGTTAATGATGACAACTATATAGGCCATAAAGAGAAATGTGGTTTGTGTTCTTTTGTCATGTTTCCTATGAGCACACTGAAGCTACAGCTGCTATTAACCTTTACTTATTATTACAGTCATGTTTTCATATTCGATATTTGATATCCACAAGCAGGTGATGATGTGTTTCAGCTGCTAACAGGCACCAGAATTAAAATTGAAAATTAAACAAGTATGAACGCTAACGCGATATCTTCATCCATCGTCACCCCCGAGCTACACATGCAGGAAATTGTGTCCGACTTATGCGCACAGCAGATCTGTTCTGTGACATAAGGAGCCATATGATTGGCTGAAAGCGAACAGCCCTGGCAGAAGCATATATTTGATTGACAGGTTCATTAGCCAATGGGGACGTTTGTATACCTGCGACGTTAGGAGAGTCTCAAAATTCAGCACACCGATTTCTCTCACGAATGCAGGAAGGTTCACAAATGAGAAGCTGTCCGTGAATGCACCACACAGATTTCACTCACAAACGCAGAAAGGTTCACAAATGAGAAGCTGTTCGTAAATGCACATTCAGCAATTCGCATGATCTGAGTTTATATTACAAGTGTTCTTACAAATTATATTTGTGAACCACAGAGTGTGAACTTCAGAATTAGCGTGCGCATTTGTGGAAAATGTTGCGTGACTTATTTTTTCACATTATATTTATGAGTCAAAGAGTGTGAATTTCCGAATGAGCGTGTGCATTTGTGTTCCTCCGAATTATATTTGTGAAACACAGAATGTGGATTTCCGAATGAACGTGTGCATTTGTGGAAAACGTTGTGTGACTTAATTCTTATTGAGACTGTTCTGGCCTCATAGTAATCAAATGTCTATAGAGGAAAATATGGATAAGATATAGCCATGAGGTTCACTTTTGCCTCAGACCGACTTATTGCTGTTTTATGGTGTGGCTGAATCTGCGATCAGCTGCCACGCGGACAGGAATAACAAATGCTGCAGTAACAGGAGTTGTAGTCAGGTTCGGAGTCACTGACTGGAGTGGACCCGACTTTAATACGTCATCCCAAAATAGAAGCTAATATCTTAATTTGACCTTGAATGAAAAACGTTGTTATAAAAACTCTTAAAAGTTTTTATCACAGAGGAGGCAGCGCTCATTTCTGCCTTCAGTCTGACGGCGCGCCGGAGTTTGCGCAGCGTGCACGCTTATTGAATCTGTGTGTGTGTGTGTGTGTGTGTGTGTGTGCGTGCGCGCAGCACGGCTCCATGAAGCTTGGTTTATGCTTGATGCATTCACTTTCCGCTTGGTGATGCGGCTCGCGGATGGAACGTGCTTCACAACTTGCAGCGTTTAAGTCACTGCATCTCCTTATTGGCGCTATTTAAACCAATGTTGTAAAATTCCTTCTGCCCAGCCCAGATGTGCTCACATGTGCACCCGTGAGCCGTGGTTCCGCTAGAACGCGTCTGACCTCTGACAGACGCACTCTGAACTTCAGATTTTCAGCGCGCAGTTAATACCCTGAATGGGAATCATTTCTTGTTATTTTGTTACATCCACAATGTTCTGTGTGTGAGGTTTACAACGTCAGAACACCTGCATGAGACAGGGTGTTAATTACAATCTGCCAGAATGACTCGCCACCTTCAGATTTCTTCAACACCGTTAAAAATGATCAAATACGGAACATATCGGCGTGCGCAGGCCAGAGTGCTGAAGCTCGGCGCATTGTAATTATGAAGCTATGGCACATGTGGAGGACACGCGCGCAAAAATATACTTGTTTTCAATTACATTTATTGGGCCCACTTACTTTTTCTTAGACCCACCCACAAATGAGTTTCTACGCTAATGGTGACATCTGACAGACTTCTCTGTGCTCCGCAGCCATTACACTTTTCACCTCGCGCACCCCCTAGCGGCAGTTTGCGCACCCCTGGGGGTGCGCGCACCACACTTTGGGAATCCCTGTTTTAGACCATGAACACAGCTGATTTGTTCATTTTAGTGATGAATCAGTCTTGTAGACACCAAGGAAGGCTCGAGAGTTATTTCAGCTGTTAGATTAATGTGTTAAAAAACGAGGGGTGAGGGGGGCTGGTGCCTATCTCCAGCGGTCAACAGGCAATCAGGTGGGGTACACCCTGGACAGAGAGCCAGTCCATCGCAGGGCAACACAGAGGCACACACACACATGCGCACACACACACACACACACACACACACACACACACACACACACACACACACACACACACACACACACACACACACACACACACACACACACACACACACACACACACCCCTAAGGACAATCTAGACAGACCAATCAGCCTAACAGTCATGTTTTTGGACTGTGGGAGGAAGCCGGAGTACCCGGAGAGAACCCATGCATGCACAGGGAGAACATGCAAACTCCATGCAGAAAGATCCCAGGCCAGGAAGTGAACCCAGGACCTTCTTGCTGCAAGGCAACAGCTCTAACCACTGCGCCACTGCGCAGCCTGAAATCATTTTATATAGTCAGAAAATAAATAGATTAAACATCTCCAACCCTTACCATGCCCCTGGGATACTTTTTAAAAACGTCAGAAGCTGTCGGAGCGGACCTGGCCAAGGAACACCTTGGAATTTCCTCGGAGGAGCTGGCCCAAGTGGCTGGGGAGAGGGAAGTGTGGGCCTCTCGACTTAGGCTACTGCCCCCGCGACCCGACTCCGGATAAGCGGATGAAAATGGATGGATGGATGGACAAATAACAGATTTACACGTAAGTAGTTTAAATAGAGTGCTGTGCTGTTTGAATGAACGCCAAGAGAAATCACTAGTTTGATTTTTTGTTTTCTGTTCTGGCATCCTGGGGCACAACAGGAATCTACCATATTTCCCATTTGATTGAGTTTTCTGACAATAACAAATAGCCCAGCTGCGGGCTTCTGCCTGCCAAGATGGCGCCTCTTCGATTAGAAATGTTGCATGCCGGGAGAAGTGACGTCAACTCCCGGAGCTCTATGTACCCTAAATGTAAAAGGTGAAGCTGAAGATTCTCTGTTCTTGTTGACTAGTTTGGTGTGTGTGTTCCCTCATATGTTAATCTAAACACAATCCCTCACACACACAGGAGCAGAATGAGGAACATTCAAGCGAATGCAGTCAAGTTTAATCATGAGAAATCATTGCTTGTTTGCTGTAAAATTTTAATGAATTAATTCAGATTCATACGTGGAAGCGGGGTCAACAAAGTGCTCGATGCTATCTTCTTCTACAATGCGTCAAGCTGCTTTAGCCTGGAGCTTCAGAGCAAGACAAGATTGTTCAAGACCGAGGTTTTCACTGTTTCTTTTTCACAATAAAGAGCACGGCTAATCCAGTTTTCAGGCAACATGTGTGGAAGGAACATCTGCTTTAAACAGAGCCCATCCAACTCTCTTTAAAAGCCAATTTTACCTTGAAGTCATGTTTTGTAACCTACAGCTGATAAAAATCCAAAGGCCCGAGGACAGATACACACACTCCCACAGTCGTTCATTCATGCAAGCATTACGTAAAAAGACGTTGTTGTTTCGGCCAAACTATGTTTATTCCCATGAGAACACGCAGAAAGCAACGACATTTCAGGAATCAATGGTACAGAGCTTACGTATAGTAAGGTGCTGACATGAAACAGTAAAAACCAACAGTAGGGTGAGTGCACTTCTGCAATAAATAATAAAAAGACTGATTCTGAAGTGGGAAATTTAGGTTTCAGATATGAAGCATGTTTTTAAAATACATTTTGAAAGTTTCTGGTAATATATTGTAGAAATGTCCTTACTTGCATGCCTAAAAAGTACCCTGTATTGTATTTTTTTTACTATACTAAATGTACTGAACAAAGGGGAAATTTGGCTCATTCATGCATTCTTGTTGTATTAAAGCGAAGCCACACAAGGCCAAAAATCAGATGTGAAGTGTTATCCTTCAAATGAACCATGAGATATGTAAAATCAAGATAACAGAAATAGGTTTTTGAACAAAACCAAAGTGCATTTTAAGAAAAAAAAGTGTTTAACTTCAAATCACAAGGCAAAAAGGTGATGCTTAAAAGGAAGTGTGATTTAAAAAGGCAAGTTGTCCAAGTAGTAACCACATTTGATCCTATTATCAGAGCACTCTTGCAGAAATGGTAACACTTTAGCTCAGGGAACACGAATTAACCATTAATTAGCTGCCAATTAATATGCATATTAGTGGACTACTAAGTCAGAATTAGTCATTATTAAGCTATTATTAGGTGCTTATTACCAATGCTATAAATCTAACATTAACAGGCCATAAATTAAGAGTTTAATGAGCCATTCTTATTTGTTGCTGATTAACACACAAAAGTCAAATCAATGCGTGGCTTTTAAAGAAGTAATTCAAGGGGAATAATTATTCTTCATTAGCAACCAAAAATATCATGTTGTGGTATTATGTACATAAAAACCAAACACCTCATGTTGATAGAGCCTAAACAACAATCTATCCACTTGTAAGGAAGAATCAGTTCCTCATTCTAAAGTCAGATTTTGTTCATACCTAACTACTAGTAGTTCAGTATTAATTAACCACTTAAAGGCAAGGATGTGTTCTCCTTGAATGACTTCTTTAAAAGCCACATATTGATTTGAGCTTCTTAGTAAGTGCGTTAATCAGCAACAAACCATTTACTTTCAGTTTACAACCAATTATGAATGGCTTATTATGATAAAACTCCTAATTTATGGCCTGTTAATGTTAGAATTACGGCATTAGTAATAAGCTGTTAATAAGTGCTTAATAATGACTAGTTATGACTTAGTAGTCCACTAATATGCATATTAATTGGCAGCTAATGAATGTTTAAGTTGTGTTCCCTAAACTAAAGTGTTACAGGAAAGATAAATGCTTATTTTCAATTAAAGACCAAGTTCGCTCATTTTTTCAACACATTAGCAAGGGAAATGACTGCTTTGTGAGTTCCTGTTTCAGGAACTAGAAGTGGGCCAGAGCAGAGGTGAGCAGAAGATGGCAGGTTCCTGATATTCAGTCATCTCACCTCTGATTAGCTAACAGCAACGTGACTCTACCATCTTCCTTTGCTGTACAACAATAATGTTTATCACCAAAAATATAACAACCCTGAAGGAGTTCTGTCATGTTGTGGAGTCGCTAATGCTAATGGTTAGCTTCTACTATCCGAGACGCTAAAGCAACTTCAGCTAAAATGGGTGAGTCCATAAATGCTAATTTTCAGTGTGATGTGGTGCAAAAATATTTATTCAGCCTCCAATTGTGCAAGTTTTCTCACTGAAAAAGACGAGAGGCCTGTGCTTTTTGTCATAAGTAGGTCTATACCTCCACTATGAGAGACAAAAAGAGAAAAAATAAATCCAGAAAATCACATTGTCTGATTTTTAAAGAATTTATTTGCAAGTTATGATGGAAAATAAGTGTTTGGTTTCCTAATAAAAGCTAAATTTCTGTCCTCCACTTGTTATTTATAATAATGGCACCTGTTGGATCTCGTTGTTATTTATTTGTTTATTTATTTAACAGGGACAGTGCATATTAATGAACTTCAACAAAAAATTGTATCAGTAAATATGCCTGATTGTAGCACAAGTGCTAATTTATATCTGTAGCCCCTAGGCAGGTGATAAAAGTGATAGAAGAAAGCAAAGTATTATATTTAAAACAAGGAAACTAGGAACAGACAACATGTCACTATGAGGACATGCTGCTGATGGATACAGGTTTGGTTTTCCTTCAAGTGTTTAAATATGAGTGTAAGTCTCTTATGCTGAGTGGTAGACTGTTCCAGTATTTATCAGTATAAAAGAAACCTTTACACAACCTCAATCACACTCCAATATCCACTAAGGCCAAGACCAAAGAGCTGTCAAAGGACACCAGAAAACAAACTGTAGACCTGCACTAGGCTGGGAAGACAGAATCTGCAATAGGTAAGCAGCTTGCATTGAAGAAATCAACTGTGGGAGAATTTGGAATGTAGAAGTTATACAAGACCACTGATAACCTCCCTCCATCAGGGGCTCCACACAAGATCTCAACTTATGGGGCAAAATGATCAGAAGAACGGTGAGCAAAACCCCCAGAACTACACGGGGGACCTAGTGACTGACCTGCAGAGACAACACATTCTCACACCCAAAGCGTCAAAATATGACGCGTGCGATCAAGCCTCAATATATGACGATTGGGGATGCCCCAGCGCGTCAGGAGATGACGATCAGGGACACATGGCTCCGCTGACGTCAGTGTTTGACACCCGTGGTCACACGGACATTATTCGACTATTTAACCTTCCCCTCACCCCAATCCTAACCTTAAGGTCAGTAACTGTGACCTTAAGGTTAGGATTGGGGTGAGGGGAAGGTTAAATAGTTCACAAGTCGATCTAATGTCCGTCTCACCACCAGCGTCGGATACCAACGCTCTGGGACGTTGCGTCATCAGTGTGTCCCTGATCGTCGTCTCCTGACACGCTGGGGCATCCTGAATCGTCATGTATTGAGGCTTGGTCACACGCGTCATATTTTGATGCTTTGGGTGTGAGAATGTCTTGACATAGATTTGGGACCAACGTTACAAAGGCTACCATCAGTAACACACTACGCCAACCGTTGAAAGAACTGCAGGAAACATTTGAACTCTGTCATTACTAACAAAATGGTGTATAACAAAGTTTTGAGATGGACTTTTGTTATTGATCAAAAACTTATTTTTCAGCATAATTTGCAAATAAATTCTTTATAAATTAGACTGATTTTCTGTATTTTTTTCTCATTTTCATTGTTGAGGTATTTGCATGATGAAAATTGTAGGAATCTCTCATCTTTTTAAGTGGGAGAACTTGCACAATCGGAGGCTGACTGAATACTTTTTAATACTTTTTAATCCTAGCATTTCCTGCCTTATTTCTATCAGTGGCTACTGCAGGAAATAAGTGTAAAGGACTATTTCCATAATTAGCCTGCATGTGAAAATCTGATCGTATCCCCAAAACAGGTTGAATAACCATTTCTCAGTGAACTTGGTCTTTAAATAAATTAAAATAATCCAAAATTCACCTGAAAGAAATTAGGTTTAGTTTTGAATTCCTAGCAAAACATATCAGATATGCATTCACCATGTAAAAATAAACTCAGAGTTGAACATAATTATTTAATCTTCAAACCCACATTTAGATAGCATTGTTGACCTGACATGCATCAGCCAGCTGCAGAAGCTCAGCGGGGCGTTGGGTCACTTTGGACTCGTCATAGGAAATTGTGCTTTATATACCAAGAAAAAGAGACTTGGCTTTATTGTTTTGGCTTGCGCAGTGGCAAGGAGAATAACATCTTTAAAGAATCTAGAAGGATTTTATTATTGGAAGAGTCAAGTCAGTAGCTTATACAGCATTTGCCTATTTTTACTGATAAAAGTCTAAAAATGCATATAAAAGGTACTGTCATGGACTTTTTTTTTAATTATAAGGGATCAAGGCTCCCGGTGTGAAAATATGAACAAAGAAACAAAAAGCTATCAGCTGGAATATAGTTCCCGTACACATTGTTTGAATTTCTTGCAAAAAAAAAAACTTTTATCTTTAGTCAGGTGAGAGATTTGCTGCAGATGAACGATGCTGAAGGAGATGGGAACAATAAGCTGCTGTCAGAGTTATGAGTTCTCAATGGGGTTAAATAAGGCTGAGTTAACACACCCTGAAATGAGAATATTCATAATAAACCAATGGCGTGCTGCCAGGGCTACCAGATTTAGCTCAGGTTTACGTAATAAAACTTGAGTCATAGCAGTTAGTGGTCATAATGATTATTAAAAAGACAATCTGAGCCACAGACCTTGAAGAGTAGACAGATGTTGTACATGTATGCGTCCTATTTGCCTACAAAACCAATTTATGCTATAGATTGACTCTCATAGAGGAATATTGCATGAGTCAGATGTCTGTTGTCTCCAGTAACTGCAGTGAAACAGGATGGCCATTGATTAAAAGAAGCGTTAAACTGTCCAGTCACTCCTGGGGTTTAGGCTGATTGGGACATTCAGTCTGGCAGTCCATCAGCCAGGGGTAGCTCTCCCAGAGCAGCAGCCGAGCCATTATTCTCCCCCCTTAAATCCCTCTCCTCCTCCATCTCCTCCTGGTTTAGAGGATCCTGTTGTGACAGGCGGTTCAGGGACTCAAAAGTACGCTCTTTGGGCTGGGGACTTAAGAGTGGAAGCTGAGGCAAAAGTGGCTCATCCCGGAACTTAACTGCTAGCTCCTTGGCGCTGCAGGTTGGGGTGTTGGTCTGGTAGACCTCATGGAAGTTGTTGTAGTCCACCTCATAGAAGCCCTTCTCCAGAGATAAAACTGGTGTGAAGCGGTAGCCCCACAGCACCTCAGTGTCCAGGTAGGAGCTGCGAGCCTGACATGTCATACCTGTCATAGAGACGGCAGCCATTAGTGTTCACACACACACACACAGGGTAAGAAAGAAAAACACAAATGATATTGATGTTCTGCTGAGCTGTGTTGCCCTCATGGAGGGGGCCATCGGCTTGAACACTGCTGCTAACCACTTAAACATTCTCCCTCTCCTGATAATAACATTTTACTTTCTTTGACATTGAATGTGCTAATACCAGTTTATTTATAGATCCACTAGGATAAATACAATAAAGTTTATCTCTCACCAAACAGAATATTTACTAAGAAATCACAATGTGTGTGTGTGTGTGTGTGTGTGTGTGTGTGTGTGTGTGTGTGTGTGCGTGCGTGCGTGCGTGCGTGCGTGTGTGTGTGTGTGTGTGTGTGTGTGTGTGTGTGTGTGTGTGTGCTCTGTCTTCTTGATCCCCAGTGAGTGATGGCAGATGGCTGCTTATACTGAGCCAGGATCCTCTGGAGGTTACTTCCTGTTAAAAGGGAGTTTTTCTCTCCACTGTCGCTAAAGGCGTGGATAGTATGAGGATTGCAGTAAAGACTTTGACGCTAGTCAGTGATTTTACAGCTGACACTAGTCAGTGACTTGATGCAATTTGCTGGGTTCCTTATATAGGAAACTTTTTTCTGATTGGCTTTATGAACTGACCTGAATTGGAATGTTTTCCATGTGAAGTGCTTTGAGACGACGCTTGTCGTGATTTGGCGCTGTATAAATAAACTTGAATTGAACTGAATATTGATGGGTTACCAAATGCAGATCTACACACAACCAAGAGGGAGTGATGAATATGAGGATATCAGTTATTTATGTAAGTAATAAATAAGCAACTAATAAATAAATGAATAAACAAACAAACATACACACATGCTGCACACATTTTTCCAAATCCGTTTGTAAAATGTTCATTATTTTTCATTGAAAGCTAATAGATCTATGTTAGGTATTTTTTATATTGTTCATCTTTGATTGTGAAGTTACCTCACTTTTAGGAAAAGTCCAAACCAGCTAAACCAGGGAGTTTTCTGCCAGACCAAAAAACTTGTAGTTCTAGTATCTGAAGAATTCCTTTGTCCTGTGCATTCTAAGACCAAGGTGTTTTTCCATTAGCTCAATTCTAGAAACTTCTCTTGTGATTGTGGAATTTGTGGGTGTGAACATTTTGTGAAATAAATCCCTCCATGAGCTTCGGCTCCTTTGTGAGAGGAAAATGGCTGCCTGTCTGATGGTCTGATTCTTTCTCACCCGTTACAACGTGAGCTTTGTAACGTATGTTATGGCCTTTGCAAAGTGTCACACTTTGCAGAGTTTGTTGTCTGTTTAAAGGTTTGTTACAGTTTACCAAATTAAGAATCTAATCCCTCTGTGTGTGTGTTCTGACTTCCTTTAAGGTAATTTAAGTTTAAGGTAATATAAGAACAATAGTATAAATTAAATTACGCAACATATTCTTTGGAGAATGCTAAATTAAATTACCGGAGAACATAAATTAAATTACCTAACAATCTATGTATCCAAGACATTCACCTGAAATTACAGAAACAAATATTTGAGAAAATAAAAAGACCAAAAACATGCAGTTATTTCAGATATTGTCTCAAATGTTTTAGAGTTGGAAGTGGCACAGCCAGAGATTTTCCATGGGTGGCCATGGCCCCCTTGGTCACCCCTTGGGCATGCCACTGGGGAAAGCATGGAACATGTTACGGGTGTTTTGCTGCAGACATTAGGTGTTATAACAAAGAAAACCTCAAGGCTAAACTAAACCCACCCACAGGTAATAATAAACTAAAAGTTTATGGAATAATAATAACTGATTAATTATTACCAAAATGTATATTTATATTTCACTGTAAAACGCAAAGTTCAGAGACTCTGAGTCAATCAGTTAAAATCTAATCTAATATTAAATTCTCATGCCATTTCTTTTTATCGTGTAACACTCTGGTACCAGGCGTGTGTTGGTAGGAAAATCTGCAAGCAGCATCAAAGATATTGTTTTTGTTTCTTTAAACCTAATAAGTTGTGAAAAGTAGAACCAGATGTTTTATAACTTCACCTTAACACCTCTTCTTATATCAAGAAAGAACATTTGACCTCAGCTGGAGAGAGATAATCTTTGTATCACTGTTTGTCACACAAGGACTTGTAATCCCAGCCCCACTAAACTGTTTAAGTCCATCCAGAATTACAGGTTTCTCCTAAAATAATCTTTGGTGACAAAAAACACTAAGAAGCTTCTCAAATTGAAACAAAAGTGAGATGAAGAGGATTAGGTTACGTGTGGATTGATAAGAAAAAACAGGGAAAACATGACACACGAGCAGTAAAAAATGCAGTTTCTCCCAAGAAAAAGTTTAAAAAACTTTTGAAGTTAGAATAAATAATAGACATTCAAGATATGTGTTCGTACACTAGCCACGAGGGTGTTAAAATAGCAAAATAAAGCTCATCACTGCTCCAGTTCTTCTGTGTTTCAACCTGAAAAGAAATTATCTGACATTTTTTGTCTCCATGCTGCCTGCACACAGTGAACAAATAAAACAGCTTCTTTCTGTGACTTCAAGTGCAAAGTGAAAACATCAGAACGAGATGGAAAAGAAAAAAATAATAATTTATAACTTCTACTTTTGTTCTGAAAGTTTCATTTAGAAATTCAGAGCCTGATGGTCAAAAGCTACTTTTGAAAAACTAAAGTTTCAATCAGGTTTGGGGATTTAGTTTCGTTTATAACCTTAAAGCTACCTTTCTTACCTTATCAAATTTAAAATATTATTTTCATATAAAAGTCTTGATTTTCTTGAGGAGTGTCTTTTAGAGGACCTTTGTGTAATGTTGTGTAATCCGCAGTGGCTACATTCTCCTGCAGAGGAAAGCTCTTGTCAATGAGAACAGTGGCAGATTTAGCAATTTGGGGGCCCAAGGCGAACACAGACATGGGGCCCCTTACACAAAATTTTCCACAATCTTACCTTTAACTGGATTTGCGAAACTCTCCCCTCTTCTGACATGAGTTATTTTCCCTTTTTATTTGTCCTCCTCTTTTTTCCTGTATTTCCCTCCCTTTGAGCGCTTTCAATATTTGCACTGCTTTCTTTTTCCTGTCAGCGGTCCTGTGCTTTGCCTTTTTTAAATTTATTTATTTATTTTTTCCATTTTGGTTTATGTTTTCCTCCCTTTAAACATTTTGCATTGTCTTTCCTTTCTGCTTCCTTTTGATGTTTACACCGAAAAACGACGTCACTTTCAGAAGTGAAAATAAAAGCTTTTATGAAGCATGCTGCTTCTTTCTCTTATTGGAGCCACTAGGATAACTCCATTTCATGCTTCATGTTTTGACTATCGCTTTGAGTTTGTTACGAAAGCTCCCGCTTGTCTTCTTCTTATTTGTGGTCTTATGGCACTTGGCAAACAACAATTTGGTGCATTACCGCCACCAACTGGATTGGAGTGGAATGACTACCAATCACTTCCTGTTTGTGCATCGCCGTCTTAATAACCCTCTTATGAACATAATTATAACAGGGCCACCTGGTATTTTTTATTATGGCTGTAAAATTGTAATAAAAAGACAAAGTGTGTGTAATTCTTCTCCTTTTTTTCAGAATTCTTCTCCTTTTTTCTCTTTCAGTGTATGGTTTGTATTAAGAATTTATTTCTTTTACAGCCTTTAAAAATCAGCTTAAAAGTGAAAAAAGCAAAAAACAGATTTGAATTTTTTACATTTATTACTGAACAGGAACTTCAAAATTACTGGGCAAACAATTTGGAATGAACAATTTAAACTTTGAACTGTAATGCATCTATTCTTAAAAATGTTTGAACCTTGGTATCTTTTTTAGCAGTTTTTAGGACCATTTATTTTTGTAAACTTTCAGGCATTTAATTTGATGGTAGACCTTGAAGCAGTTTCTCTCCAGCTGCAGGCGGAGTCCTGCACGCCTCATGCTGCCATGGGGTGCTTCTCTTGCACACCGTGCACTGCTATACCAAAGACTTTTGTTTTAGCAAAAATAATTATTTATTGTAAAAAGATAAATAATGCTGGAATGAAGCTGAATCTTACAATTAGCAAATAGTTGAGGGTTGTTCAAATAAAAAAAATAATAAATAAAGACTGAACAAATATTCATACCCTGGTTCTGCCCTTCTTCGTGGTCGCTCTTCAGATATAAGCATTCTGGGACACCAAATAGATCGTGTTGCTTTCCTTTGAGGCATTTCCATAATTGCATGCCAGCTTTTTATGCTAATTAGCATCCCCGATCCGTTATCCGCTTTCACCGCTGCACTGCGCTCTGCTGTGTTTCGTTTCAATCAGGCTGTACAGCAGGATTTCCATAACTCGGATTGCTTCATACTATAGATCACTGGAAAGCTGCTTTTATATACTTTTAGGAACCTGTGATATTTTTTGAATCTGATCAGCTATTAGAAAGTTATAAAATGGAGCATTTTGGATGACAAACTCAGCACGTCTCTGAATCTGTGTTGTAATTCGTTGCACTCAAGACAAGGAATCCCGGTGGCTACCATAATGTATTGTAAAAGCACGAAAAGCCCCATTTTTAACCTTTTCAGCACTTTTGGAATTTTACAGATATCTTGAAGGTTTCAGGAATTATGGCAATGAGAAGTGTGCATGTCCAATCCCGTCTGTGACAACAGGTTGGTAATAAGAATATTGTGACATTAACAGAGGGGTGTCGGCGGTCAGGGCTAGGGGGGCCCCCAACACAAGGGGGCCCCAGGCGGCCCAGACCTATGCCTAATGGTAAAACCGCCACTGAATGAGAACTAACACTCTATTTTAATAATGCATACTAGTCAAGTTGCATTTCCGGCTTCAAACGTGTAATCACTTTTCTGTAACTTAATATTAATAAATAAGGATTGCTAATTAATAACGTATAAATAAAGATTCAGTTTATGAGAAAAGGAAATAATTCTGAAGAACATAATCCACTCTAGAAAGATTTAGATGATATTTTCTTCTGTT